TTCTGTCCCCCAGACCTTTACCTTACCTCTAACTCTCAGTCCAGAACTCAACCCTGCCTCTCTCCCCTAACCATTCCTGCAAAGAGGGCTTAGAGAATAGCTGGGGGGTTGCCTGATAGTAGCCTGGGGGCTCTCTGAGGATAGGGGCTGCCGTTCTCACCACGCCCATGCCCTGCTACCCTTACAGACCCAGCTTATTCATGTCACAAACACCTGCCAAGTACCCGCTGAGTGCTAGCCCCTACAGGAGGCAGGGGTACTACTGAGCAGGCCCAGTGCCTGACCCAGGAGCTCACCTGCCTGTAGACCTCCAGATTCAAACCCTTCTATCCACATCTGAAAGACGCTTGTGTCTGAGCATGGCAAAGACAGGGATTTTCCTTCCGTTGTGGCATGGCCATTCACCTGGAGCTCTGGAAACCATGTCTACAGTTGCTGTCTTACTCCGACAAGGTACCATTACAGTTAACCAAGACAAATCACATACTGCTTAAGCAGCACAAAGAAGGTACGCGTAGGGAAAAGTAGAAGAAATGACACATGCTCATGTGCCAATAGCAGGCAATTTCAGGTGGGGCCGATCCCAGTTTGAAGGTTGTTGCCATAGGGCATGTGCGCTTGCTGGAGACAGCGACAGAGAAAGGGAAAGCGAGAAATCACCTCCTACTAGAGGGGATGGCCATGCCGCAATCCCTTCTTCTCCAGTGTCCTCCATGGATTTGGGGGCACAAACACACACCCCCCCCCCAATGTGACCTTAAGATGCTATGTCCAGGTCTGAACCGCGATCAGTCTTGTTGGGGTCCAGTGCATTAACCACCACGCCACCTGCTGGCCCCTGATCCCAGTTCTAAAGAACCATGATTGGGCCAGCTAGTGAGGTGGTGTTCGAGGCAACTACATCCCATATGGCCAATGGTGTGGTTCAAGTCCTGGGCCCGTTGACCTGAAAGACACAACAGGCTTGTGTGCATGTTTGCCCAAAAAGCTGAGGGTGGAATGAAGGAGAATAGTGTGTGGCTATGCCCCTGGGAAGTGCTTTCTTTTTTTTTTTGGAGAGGTTTTCACTATAGGACGCATGCACTCGCCAGACAGACAGAGAGAGACAGAGAGACAGAAAGTGAGAAATCATCCCCCAGGGGGGATGGCCATGCCACAATCCCTTCTCCTCCATTCTCCTCTCAGGATCTTGGGCATGCACGCACACAGCGCCCGGCATGAGTTTTAAGCCACCGGGTCCGGGACACGAACCGCGGCCAACTACGTGGGAGTCCAGCAACATAGCCATTACGCTAACTGCTGGTCCCAATGAAAAGTGCTTTCTTAATGTCTCACTCTCTGTCTCTGCATAGCACACACACCCTCTGGCCACATTTTGAAAAAAGAATTGAATATTCCATTTTGAAACAAATACACCAAAAGTTTCCTTGAAATAAATACTTTCATGGAATATTTAAATAAGACTATTGATAAAGTGTATGTTAATTCCTACTTGTTCAGGGACATACTTAATCTGGCCACGGGCCTCTCAAAAATTTCAGAATGCTCTTCTTTTCCCTAATACAAGCCTTCACCAAGAGGGCTTCTTTTTGGATCTACCTCTTCATTCCTTCTCTTAGAGTAACTGTCTCCCTTTGCCATCTGTCTGCTGATGACAATCAAGCTGACAATGACAAGTGCTTATTATGTGCCAGGCACTGTACTCTGGTTTAATCCTCCAAACAGTCCTATGAGGGCTGGCAGGTCAGGGACTCAAACCCCAGTTGGACATGTGGGAGTCCAGCACTCCATCCACCATGGCAATTTTTTAAAAATATTAATACAATAAAATATTAAGATTCTTTCAAACCCTACTGCCTGGCACCCTGCTCCTCTCCTGGACACTCATCCTGAGCCCCTGCCAAGACCTGCCCATATCCAGCAAGCTTGACCCAGTGATGCTGAGGGTAGGGGGCTGGGCACAGAAGGGCTCAGCAGCCTGCTGGCCTGGGGCTTGGCCAGGACTACACCTGTGGGTAAATATTGCTAATAGCACTTCGTCTTCCTCCTCCTCTCCACCAACCAGTTCCTCCTGCTGACTTCCTTATTTCTGGGGCCCACATCATTCTTGGGTTCCCCTTACTCAGAGCCTCTTCTTCACTGCTCACCTTCAGGCTGTCTTGTCCTGTGGCTTTGACCCCTTTTATGACTGTCCATCTCTCTTTTGTCCTCTCTCTCTCTCCATGGTCTGCACCCTAGAACAGACCCCTCTACCTCTGGCCCCTCCGTTATGGACTCTCCCCACCTTCAGCCCCTTCTTCCTCCACATTGTTGAGGTCAGGTGTTCAAGACCAAAGCCTGCCCTTCTCATCTGGCTTCCTATGAGGAATCTACCCTCCAAAATTTAGGCAGAGAAGTTACTTCATAAATAGTCACTAAATCTAGTAAGCCGATACGCGCTTGAGTTTTCAAACCTAGCCAATCACACTTTCTCACCCCTGAAACACAAACATTTTGCTGTCACCTCAGTTCCAGCAAAAGCTTTGCCTGCTCTGCTCCCACAGAGCAGGAAAACCTTGCAGGCAGCTTTAGGTCATGAACAGCTTTCCTTCAACTGCCTCCTCTCCCAAGTCTTGGCTGACTGCGTCCTGTCTGCCTGATTCCTGGGACTCCCTAGGTAAGGTACTGTGGCAGGCCTTGCTCAGCTGGGGCTCAGCTGACGGTGACAGAGTGCCTACCCTCCAAGAGTGCATGGTGGGAGCTGGAGGAAGATGCAAACAATAACACACCAGTCACTTCTGTCAGTGCCAAAGGGGCTGTGCAGACAGGGACTCAGGGATGCGCTCACTCTGCACCAGTCTCATTTAGGCACTCGGTGCACCATTAGCCTAGGCACAGCCCTCCCCCACTGTCTAACAGCTCTAGGGGTCCAGCAGATGGCATGGAGGTTAAGTCACTGGATCCCAAATGGCCAGCTTTGCAGTATCAGTCCAGGAACTGGCAGCTTGAAAAACATGCAGGCTCATGTGCATGTATGCCCCAAATTCCAAGAGGAAAATGGAGGAATTGCAGCATAGTCATCCTCCGTGGGAGGTGATTCCCACTTTCTCTCTCTCTCCCTCTTTGTCTCCAGCAAGCACACTGCCCCATAGCAAAACAAAACAAAACAAACAAACAGACAAAAACAGAAACCAGCTCTAGGATCTTGAAACTGTTGCTTAACCTCTCAGCGACTGTAAAATGGAACAGCAAAGCTGCCCCACAGGAGATGTGAGGCTTCCACGAGCAGCCCGTACAAAGGACCTAGAGTAGCGCTCGACACCGATCTCTGTGCAGTACTGTGAGCTGTGATTGCTTTCCTATTTCATATCAATGGTCACAGGAAGTCAGAGGTGGAAGACACCTTTTCCAACTGTCACTCTAGATCTCAGGAACTTTATGAAAGTGTATACCCAAGAAGTTCTGTCCCCCAGACCTTTACCTTACCTCTAACTCTCAGTCCAGAACTCAACCCTGCCTCTCTCCCCTAACCATTCCTGCAAAGAGGGCTTAGAGAATAGCTGGGGGGTTGCCTGATAGTAGCCTGGGGGCTCTCTGAGGATAGGGGCTGCCGTTCTCACCACGCCCATGCCCTGCTACCCTTACAGACCCAGCTTATTCATGTCACAAACACCTGCCAAGTACCCGCTGAGTGCTAGCCCCTACAGGAGGCAGGGGTACTACTGAGCAGGCCCAGTGCCTGACCCAGGAGCTCACCTGCCTGTAGACCTCCAGATTCAAACCCTTAAAATGACCAATGCTATGAAGGAACAGAATGTACACCATGTGAACAGGTTAATACAGCTTACTGTGTGCAATCAGGAAAGGTTTCCTGGCAGAAGAGGCATTTGGGCTGAAATCTGAAAACCACATATCACACTTTGAGGGGGCCAAGGCAAGCCTCCTGACCTGCTTTATGCCAGTTTCTGTAATGAGACCCCCTAAGCCTTATATTAACCTAAAGAACTCCCGGGCCTCCTGTGCTGCCTGATGTGAGGTCCTTGGCCCTGTCTGCGAATCTCTCACTACCCTGCACCCTGCAGGTGGGTAGTGCCCCAGGAGGCCCTCACTTGGAAGGGCCTGACTGTCCCTGGGATAGCAGGGCCAGGTTTCTCCACCCAGCAGTCCCCGACAGAGAAGGGGGACTTGTAGGCAACCCAGAGGCTAAAGGGCCGCAAACAGGAGCCCAAGCAAGGAGCTGAGCACTCGGAAGCTCTTCCTCGAGGTGTGCAGCTTCCTACTCCTCTCTTGGAGGAATGAGGGCAGATGCTCTGAATGAGGGGCAGGACCCCTGAGGGGGCGCCTGAGGAGTGAGAGGAGTGCGGGAGGACTAGCCCAGCAAGAGGGGCAGACCTGCCGCCTCCGGGCTGGGCGGGCCGGCCCTCCACGCTCGGTATGCCTTCCCCGGCTTGGAAGTCTCCCCAGCTCCTAGAGTCTCACGCGCGCCTCTGCCTATCCGTGGTGACCAGACTGGCAGGGCGACAGTCTGGGAAGGGGGCTCAGAAAACAGAGCTATTGGACTGGGCAAAGCTTCTGCAGAGAAAGGGCTGTACTTTTTCTGGAAAAGACCCCTCAGAAGTGTCAGTCGCGGTCGGCCGGGCGAAGCTCACGCGCCCCCACCCCAGTCCCCCCAAATCGATCACATCTCAACCTCCGGAGCCACCGCGCGTCTCTCCGGGTGGGTCGTTCTTCCCCGTGAGTGTCGGTTTTCTCCTCTGAGAAATGAGGGAGGGCGTCCAGGTTCTAGGGAGTCTGGGCTATACCTGGCCCCCCGGAGTACGGGACTTGCAGACATGAGGTAGTACAGGGCCTGGACCCAGGGAGAACCGCGGCCTGGCGACCCCTCACACCGGAGCCCAGCCGAGCTCCGGGCGCACCGCGCGGCGCACAGTCACCGAGGCTCCGCCGCCCGGCCGCTCCGCGCTGACCTCCTGCCCTCGCCCGGGCCCGAACCCGGCTATGGCTGTCGCCCGCGGACTTACCCAAAAGTTCCCCTTGAACAGAGAGCCCGTCATGCCGGCGTGACGGTGGGCGCGGAGGAGAGCGAGGTGGCCGTGGGATCGCACGGGAGTTTGACTGTCACAGCCCGCAGTCCCGACTGGCGACTTCTGCGTTCCCCAGCCGCTCAGGAAAGCCCGCCCCCAGGCCCTAAGCCACTCCCAATTCGGACGGCGGGAGCGGGAGCCGAGCTCTGCGCCTGCCCCGGCGCTGGAGGGCCAGAGACTGCGCGCGCTGTGCGCGCCGCGAGGGGTGCGCCCGCGCGGGGACCGAGATGACTTACAACCGGCGGAGTCAGGCTACGATCATAAGGCAGCCCTGACTCCGTTCCCATTAGGTGGCCTTTGGGGATTGGAAAGAACTTGGTGTCTCCTTCCCCCATCGTGGATCCAGGACCTGCCCGGCAACCTCCCTTCAAGATCCCTTGCGGAGAAATTCGGCTCTGTGGTGTGGCGGAAGGAGGCTTGTTCTAGCCCGGTCAGAGGGTGGCCTCGAGGACACAGGGTATACTCCATGAAACCCGGGGACTGACAACGCCGGCGTCGCTTAGGGTGTTGACGTTTCAGCGATTCTGGTGGACGACCACAGGGTGTTCACCTGCTACTCATCAGGACCCCCTCCTCCGCCCCCAGCACAGTTTAGTACAAAGTGTCACGGAAAGGTCATTGAGGCTGTTGCTCTTGACCCGAGGTTGCTTAGTGGGATTTTCACAGGGCACTCAGGAGCTCAGCTCGTCCCAGACTTCCCACCAGCTCTCAGGACCAAAGACTTCTCTGCCAATCCTGCCCCAGCAGGAACCCAAGCTTCTTTCCTGGCCCTTTACTCCTCCATACCCGTAAATATAACCCCAAGACAAGTCAGATCACCTGACCTTTGTAGGTAACAGCACCTCTGTGACAAAATGATGGCCAACAGGGTGAATGAGTTGCCCAAAATCACAACTTACTTAAGGAATGAAGAAGAATCAAGGTCAGACTTTTGCCCATCTTAGCAGGGCCAGAGACGAAAACAAACGTCATTCCTAGGCAGAGCAAACCTGGGCAAAGAGTAGGTGCTCAGCGGGGAGGATGAAGGTCCAGCATACCCAGACTGGCTCCTGCCCAGCCCACAACCCCAGCCTAGACAGGTAAGCATTTGCCTCTTGAGCAGGCGGTAGGTAGATGGGTCCAGGCACAGGGAAAGGGCAACTGCTGGGATGACTGGAAGGACAGCAAAAAGGTTCTGTCCCTGTAATACCACCCCCCAGTCCCACTGTGATGGACTCCCCCCAGTAAAGTCATCAACATCTACAAAGATGGAGCATGGCCTCCAGCCCTGGGGCTCTCCAAGGGCATAATCCATTGACCTGTTTTTCACTTTTTTTTTTGGCGGGGGCGCCCGGGGGGGGGGGGATTTAAATAGTTAGGCTAGGGGCCAGTAGGTGGTGTATCTCCTGCTCACTCTGTCTCTCTCTGATCAAATTAAAATAAGTTAAATTTTTAAAAAAATTTTTAAATAAATAGGGACCAGCAGTTAGCATAATGGCTATGTTGCTGGACTCCCATGTAGTCAACCGTGGTTGGAGTCCTGGACTCAGTGGCTTAAACTCACGCCGGGCACATGTGCATGCATGCCCAAGATCCCAAGAGAATGGAGAAGAAGGGATTGCAGCATGGTCATCCCCCCTAGAGGGTGATTCTCGGTTTCTGTCTCTGTCTGTCTCTTTCTGGATAGCGCACCCGCCCTATAGCAAAAACCTCTTCAATAAATAAATAAATAAACAAACAAATAAATAGTAAATAGTGAGGCTAGAGTGAAGGTAGAGAAGCCTGGCAGCTCCATCAAGCGGCAGGAGGGGCCATAGTAGGCACTGGGGGAACAGGCTAAACCAACTGCAGGGAGAGACAGCATGTCAGTGTGTGGAGTTGGAGCTGCAGTTGACAGCTACATTCTACATGGCAGACTACACAGTGTGAGTCCTGAACCTGGCAGCCTGAAAACACTTGGGAAGCATGCTCAAAATCGCAAAAGGAGGGAGAGATGGAGAAAAGACTGAAGTGTGACCATGCCACCTGCTGGCCCCCAAAATTTATTTTTGAAAAGTAAATAAAAACCATTTGAATATGAGTGTGCAGTAATTAAATATTATATGTATATATGTACACATATATTTATAAAATTAAAAGAAATGGTACTGACTAGGGAGATAAAGTACTGGGCCAGCAGGTGATGTGGTGGTAAAGGCGCTGGAATTTCCACATGGCTTACTGTGGTTCAAGTCCCATACCTGGCAGCTTGCTTTCTCACTCTCCCCTTCTTTCTCTCTGTCTTTCTCTGGCAAAACTCATGTAAAAAATAGTAATAATAAATAAATAATTCATAAAAAGAAACAAAGTACCAAAGATGTACCAAGATTTGTCTTGGAAGCTTTAAATATTTGGGACAAATATTTTAGGTAAAATTTGAATTGCCTACATTTTTATTTTTAATATTTGTGTTATTTTTAAAGTCTTAGAAAATTTCACCAGCTTTCTCATGATACATTGGGCTTGATTTTCAGGACTCAAGCCCTTAAGATCCTTGAATTTTAACTCTCTTCCACCACCTGCTGGTAAACTTGGAAATCGTAAATGGTTGTCCACATTGCGGGGAAACATCCATTCCTCAAAACATTTCTTTTGCTCACTAGGACAGGTATTGTGAGTAAAAGTAAAATGTTTCTTTTTTCTTTTTCTTTTTCTTTTTTTTTTTTTTCGGAGAGGTTTTTGCTACAGGGGGCATGCCCTCGCACTCGCCAGAAATACCAAGAGACAGAAAGTGAGAAATCACCCCTCCCAGGAGGGATGGTCACACCACAATCCCTTCTTCTCCATTCTCCTCTCGGGATCTTGAGTGGGCACGCACATTCACGCGCCCAGTGTGAGTTTAAGCTGCCAGGTCCGGGACTCAAAGTGCGGTCAACTACATGGGAGTCCAGCAACATAGCCATTACGCCAACTGCTGGTCTCAAATGTGTCTATATCTAAGGATCTATAACCAATTTAGGATATTACACTGACAAAGTTAACTACCATTACTACTACTACAGCAATTATGATATAATGAAATTAAGTGGTTAATGCATTTAAGATAACCACTACGAATATGTTGGCATACGGTCTTCTGATTATGTACATTTTTATGGCTAAATGCTCATTCATAGGGTTCTGCCTGTGGACGATGCCAGGAAAGCACAGCTCAAGTCTCTCTTCCCATTGCCGTCATGTCTAAGTCAGAGGCTCCTAAAGTGCCAGAACAGCTGCAGAAACTCTTTATGGGAAAGTTGAGCTTTGAAACAACAGATGAGAGCCTGAGGAGCCATTTTGAGCAATGGGAAATGATCATGGACTATGTGGTAATGTGAGATCCAAACATGAAATGCCCCAGGGACTTTGGGTATGTCACGTGTGCCACTGTGGAGGAGGTGGATGCAGCCATGAATGCAAGACCACACCAAGGGGTGGAAGAATTGTGGAACCAAAGAGGACTGTCTCAAGAAAAGAATCCCAAATACCGAGTGCCCTCTTAAAGATCTTTGTTGGTGGCATTAAAAACACTGGGGACCAGCAGATGGCATAATGGTTACATTGCTGAACTCTCAGGTAGTCAACCACAGTTCAAGTACCGGACCCAGTGGATTCACACTTGGCATGTGTGCGTGTGTGTCCAGGATCCCAAGAGGAGAATGGAGAAGGGATGTGGAGAATGGAGGAGAATGTGGCATGACCATCTCCCCAGGGGGTGATTTCTTGCTTTTTGTCTCTCAGGAGAGCATACATGCCCTATAGCAAAAATCTCTTTAAAAAAAAAAAAAAAAAAGAAAGACACTGAAGAACATCATGTAAGAGATTTCGAATATGGGAAAATTGAAGTGACTGAACTCACAACTAACCAAAGCAGTGGCAAAAAACAGTGGCTTTGCTTTTGTAACCTTTTGATGATTATGACTTTGTTGATAAGATTGTCATTCAAGGGACCAGCAGATGGCATGTGGTTAAGGGCGATGGACTCCCACATGGCCGACTGTGATTTTGAGTTTCAGACCTGGCAGCTTGCTTTCTTACTTTCCCTCTCTCTCTCTCTCTCTCTCTCTCTCTCTAGTCAAAAATTAAAGTTACAAAAAAGGTTGTCATTTAGAAATACAACTATGAAGGAAAGCCCTGCCCAACCAAGAGATGACTAGTGCTTCCTCCAGCTCAAGAGGTCAAAATGGTTTTGGAAACGGGTGGTGGTTGTAGAAGTGGTTTTGGTGGTACTGACATTTGGTTGTGGAGCAAACCTCAGTGGTTGTGACAGCTTTGGTGGCAGCTACCATGATGGTGGATGCAGTGGAAGTAAGGATAGCTATAATGGATTTGGGAATGATGGAAGCAATTTTGGAGGTGATGGTAGCCATGATGATTTTGTTAATTACAACAATCAATCTTCAAGTTCTGGACCCACGAACGGCGGAAATTTTGGAGACAGAAGCTCTGACCATTATGGCAGTGGAGGTCAATACTTTGCCAAACGGCGAAATCAAGGTGGCTATGGTGTTCCAGCAGCAGCAGTAGCTATGGCAGTGGCAGAATTAACTGCCAGGAAACAAAACTTCGCAGGAGAGGAGAGTCAGAGAATAGGGAAGCACAGTTACAACAGATTTATGAACTCAGCCAAGGACAGTGCTGGCGGGGCCTCCCTGCTACAAAGAAAACATGTTTTAGACAATACTCGTGTATGGTAAAAATATGAGGACAGTATCTGTGACTATTTGTGTAACAGGTTATTTTACTTTCTTCTTTTTTTTTTTGGAGAGGTTTTCGCTATAGGGCACATGCGCTCACCAGACAGACAGAGAGCTGCAGAGAGACAGAAAGTGAGAAATCACCCCCTAGGGGGGATGGTCTCGCCGCAATCCCCTCTCCTCCATTCTCCTCTCGGGATCTTGGGCACGCACGCACATGCGCCCAGCATTAGTTTTAAGCCACCGGGTCCGGGACGCAAACCGCAGTCGACTACGTGGGAGTCCAGCAACATAGCCATTATGCTAACTGCTGGTTCCCGAGGTTATTTTAGTTTCTATTCTGTGGAAAAGTGTAAAGCATTTCAACGAAGAGTTTTAAGAATTATTTTAACTTCATTATTATTTTCCAATTTAACCAGAGAGAGAGGAAAAGTGAAAAAGGCAGGCAACAGGTCCAGG